CCAGCGTTTTTTTCATGATTCTACATTAAGATTTCAGCGAGATATAAACTGAAATAGACACGAAAAATACGCGATGTCGCCGACGACATACTCGACCCCAGAGAGTTAATCAGGCGAAATGAGTCGACCAAATTCAGGTCCTCCACGAATTTACACAGGGAACGTGTAGAGGGGGGCAGCAAGGCTACCCACGAGAGAGGGAGATTTATCAAGGACAGGATCGTGGAGAGCGTTAGCATCAATTCCAATAACAAGGTCAAATTCCTGAAATTTAAGAAGGTGGTCAGAAAGATCCTGAAAGAATGAGGTGCGTGGGGGAGTGGGAGCGTATGCAGCAACAAAGCAGACCTTCCTGCCCCCCAGGTCGGAGAGAGCATAACAGTCCCTGCCATCAGCATCCCCCCCCAGAATTGAGAATCTGAAGGGCCCGCCTGACCAGTATGGCCACCCCACATCTACGCGAGGAAGCTGATGAAGTGGAGACAACCCTGTAGAATCTGGAGGCCGCCTGGAGTGCATCTCACTGGAGTAAATGGGTCTCAATTAAAAAGGCAAGGTCAACGTGCTGCCTCTTCAGAAAATCTGTCACACTGGACCGTTTTTCGGGGGTATTCAAGGCCCTAATGTTCCAAGAAGCTATATTTTTATTGGCCATGATCAAAACAAAACAGACAGTAAGGTGTAAACGAGGAAAAAGAAACAAGTAAACAAAGTCTCAATATGCCAGGCATGCACCAGAGGCTGAATGCGCCGGTCGGTCAACCGTGACTTCAGGAAGTATGTCTCAGGGAAAACCCCCTTCCCACCCCTCCAAACAAACACAAAAATCCCCCAGACCCATGCTCCGGATAGGCAATGCAGCAGTAACATTAAAGACAATAAAGTAAACGGGACTGCGGCCAGGTCCAGAACATCCACCCTCTCGCCCCCCCTCCAACCGATGTCGGAAACTGCGTGCACGTGGTGCCCGAAGCGAAGCTGCCAAACACACAAACTCCACGCACATGTCCCCCACCCCTTTCTGAGTAACAGTGACAGAAATAAAACAGACCCCGTGCCACTACTGCTGCCCCGTGTACAGAGCAGGAAAAAACGGCATATGGGAAAACTATGAGCCAACCGAACAACAGCAATACAGCAGACATCCAATTAATAAACTAATAGCTTTGCACTTTTCGCCTGCTTCTAACAAAAACAAAAGCATCCCATAACAGTACATTACAATACACCTTAAAAGGAGCGAAAGAATTATACAGGAAGAGTCCCAAGAGACTGGAAGTGATCCATGGCAGCGTTCGCATCCTCTGGAGTAGCGGACACAACCTGCTGGCTTCCAAAAGACAGCTTCAGACGTTCAGGGAAGATCAGAAAAGGAGAAAGCCCCAACTCCTTCACTCTCCGGATCGGCGCGTTCATCGCCTTCCTAGCCACAGCCATCTTGGCGCTGAAGTCTTGAAAAAAGAAAAATCTCCCACCTTTGAAGCTGAGGTCCTGGACTTTGCGGGCTTCACGCACCACTGCCTGCCGGTCACGGAAGTCGATGAAGTGCATGAGGATGGGAGGCGGGCAAGAAGAGTTTCGGACCGGCCGTACAGCCTGTGGGCACGGTCAATGACTGGCTGGAAATTGGGGAGATGGGGGAAAATAGCCAGCCAGAGCTTGTCGAGAAAAGACCGCATATTGCCCCCTTCGCGCCCTAGCTTAATCCCAACTACTTTAAGATTGAGGCGACGGCTGCGGTCCTCAATCTCTGATTTTATCATCCAGGGAAAGCAGCCCCTTATGAAAATCAGCCAGCTCCCTGGAGTGCCGATCGGTCACAGCCTTCACAGAGGCAACTTCTTTTTGTATTGATTTAAAGTCCGCCCTCAGGGAGTTCAGGTCAGCGCGAAATTCCGAATGGTGTTGCTGGAGCTTGCCATTTAGTGAGTTCACCTGTTTGGAAACAAAGTTCTTAATTTCCGTGAGAAAGGGAGCCAGGAGAGGGGAAAGGGCCTCCTCAGTAATGCCGCACTTTCTTCTCCAGGCTGGAAAGAGCTGGGCGAGGTCTGCGCTGATTAGCAGCCATCAGAAGGAATAAAAGTACGAGCGCCAAATTCGTGTGGAATTGCGAATGGATTAGTGGCAAGGGGACTGACTAAAGGGCAAAAAAGGTGGATGGGACGTGCGGACGAGCAGAGCTAGGCAGCCATTACCGGCGAGCGTCACGTGACCTCCCTTAGATTACTACTTATAAAACTGATTGGCTGAAGAGTCCTCACACCTGGGTTTGAACAGCTGGCCTAAAGGTTATCCCAAAAACCTGCATACACACCAGCCCTGGCCTAGATGAACTGGGATAAACCCAATGAAGGGAATCTCATCATTGAATGGTATCAATTAGGAGAGGAGTACAAAAAACATTCCATGAAGCCAAGAAAAGATAGTAATCAACAAGTGGAGAAAATATGGCTCAACAGTGACTCTACCAATATCATAACGTCCTTCCAAGATTGATGAGAAGACAAGGAGAAAAGTGGTCAGGCAGGCCAGCAAGAGGCCAACAATTAAAGGAGCTGCAGCATATCCTAGCAAGCACTGGTTGTTCCCTATATGTTACAAAAATATTCTGTATTCATCGATTGTCTAGGTTGTGGGGTATGTTGTCGGGTAGCAAGACAAAAGCATTTGCTCACAAAAAAACAACACCCAAGCCCGGCTAAACTTGCAAAATAGTATATCCAGTGTCCCACAACCATGTGTAAAAATGTATTGTGGTCTGATGAGATCAAGGTTGAACTATTTGGCCATAATTCCAAAAGGTTTGTTTGGCTTAAAAATAACACAGCACATCATCAAAAGAACACCACACTCATAGTGAATCATGGTGGAGGTAGCATTGTGCTTTAGGGTTGCTTTTCCTTAGCTGAAATTGGGGCTTTAATCAAGGTGGATGTAATCATGAATAGCTCCAATTGTCAGTCTGTTTTGGCATAAAGCCTTCAAGCATCTGCTAGGAAGATGAAGAGGAATTTCATCTTTCAGCATGACATCGACCCACAGCATACATCTAAATCAACAAAACAATGGCTTCACCAAAAGAGTATCAATGTTCTGGAGCCTAGACCTTAATCCAATTGAAAATCTGTGGAGTGACCTGAAGTGAGCTGTGCACAGGAGATGCTCTTGCAATTTGACAGATCTTGAAATTTTGTTGCAAGGAAGAGGGTGCAAGAATTGCTAAGTCCAGATGTGCCAAACTGATGTACCTCTTACAGCACTCATTTTTTTTGGGTAAGAGTCTATCAACTAAGGTTCAGTTTAGGGGAGTGCACACTAATGCAACCAGGTTTTTGCATGGTTACTTTTATCCTTTTTTGTTTTTCATTAAACAGTTTCTCTTTTTTTCAGCGTATTTGTATATGTTGCAGTTTGGCAGTAAAGGTGGAATAAGTTCTGACATGATTTGTCTTGGTTTCATTTTTTTGTCACACAACACCTGCCATTTTGGCAGTGTGTAGATTTTTTTTTATATCCATGGGAATCAGAGGCGATTCTAGGGACATTGGAGGCCCTAGGCAATAAAAACTCCATGGGGCCTCCAACGCACCCTCCCAGACATGCTCAAATTTATGACCACTATTTTAGTGTGAAGTCTAAATTAATAGTGTCAGTAAAGAGAATTTATGAAACATAATTCCTTTATTTTCACTTTACTGTGAAAAGCAGAATACACAAGTAAAGCAGATTTGTTGTTGCATTGTCCTATGTAATCGGTCCCAAGCAATTACCTACCATGCCTGTCCTGTCCCTATGCCTATGGCAGTAATATTTCCTCCTTACAAATATTAGCAGAAAATTAGATGTTTATAACAAAATATACAAATACATCAATGACAATAATTTACCAGTTGCAAATCAGGCTTTTTGGAGCCAGTCCCGTTTCTAAATGGTTAGGCAGATTCCGGGCAAAACAAGCTACATTATTCACCTTCTCTGGTCCAAATAAAGATCAAAACATCAGTTGTATGGAAGTACTTCACATAAGTGAATGAAAATGCAGTCATCTGTCAGTTTTACAAAACAGAACTTAAATATCACTACAGCACAACTGCAATGCAAATACATCTTAAAAGATGACATTCAAATTTGATGGACTCACCAAGGAATTGCAGGTTTAGCCATAGACGTTGCCATTTAACCTGTCGGAGTAGGCTAGCTTGTCTTTGTTGTCACTTTGACTTAAATCATTTTGCATAATTTACTTTCTACGATTCCTGTGTGTAAAAATAATCCCTGTTAAATGAAGGTAAGCCCAGTGGCTGGTTGGTAGGGCTGTATAGCTTTATTTTTGGAGGGTAAATTTCAGCTTTTTTTTTAAATGTATATTGCAATATTAATCACATATTTCAAATATTGCGATGTATATCTATCTCTGTCTGTCTGATGTTTGACTTTTGATGTTTTGAAAGTTTTCTGAATATCTGGGCCAAATACCAGAACAGTGCCATATGTAGCACTATGAATATATTTAAAGTTTAATTTTAGGAATTTAAAATTAAATTAACCTATTACGGTTCAGTTGTGCTCCAAAAGATCTCCATTTTAAAAAGTTAGTTAATTTGTTATAAAATTAGTGAATGGCAGATGTATTACTATCCACCCTTCAGGAACTAACACACATCAGACACTCATTAAGTGAGGCTCAGACATGGCGAGAGTAGAGTGGGAGCCGATATCCTCTTATTTCTGATCAGTCGATCTCCATTCTGAGCCACTGTCCCCGTCTTTCTTTTTTGCATGAATATAGCCACTGCCCGTGGGCAAAGCTTTCCTCCCACTGCGCTCCGTGCTCCTGTTGGACGTCCAGCCAAGCAAAGGCACAGCCCTGCCGGTACTAGGACTGGAGGATGGAGAAGGTGGAAGACAGGCAGAGCCAGACCTGGGGCCTCTCAAGGTATGGGGGGGGTCCTATGTAGTAGCAGAATGATTACAGTTCACAGATGGCCAACAGCCAAAAATAAAGTTTGCTGTCTGAAAAACCAAATCATAAAAATGTATGAAAAATGCACTGGTGTTTTCTTGCTTTGGTGAGACAACCTTAATGAGGTATTTTTCCCTCTGTTTTGAAGGTATCACTTGAACTAGAGGTATCTAAACAAAGGCCATCCAAAGAACCTTTACAGCCCCTAAGCAGCCCTGATAGAAAGTCGGCTCTGTTGCCCAAAGGGCACTCAGAGACCCAGCTACAGCATGCTACTTTGGGCCAAAATAGTCAGCCTGTGGCTTCCAGTGTTCAAGGGGGAATGAAGATAACCCCGGTGTTGGGGACCCAAAGAGAAGTTCACTGTCCACCCTCATACAGCCCTCCCATCGGCCAGCTGCACAGCCAAGCTCAGCAGAGTTCTGCGGATGGCCCTGGCCTCCTGCTGCACATCCTGCTCATGGTGCCGGATGGAAAGGATCTCAGCTGTGTCTTCGGGAGGCTCCCCAATGTCTACCTCAACTGTAAGCTTTTTGCATCCGAAGAGGCCACGAGGTCAGCGGTGAGCTGGGGACAGACTCATCCGACATTCAACTTTATTCAGGTACCTAGTGGGTGGTGCTTTGTTTTGGAAGAAATGGTCATTTAAGGGCCGGTTTTATACTCTGTTCTCGCAACGTGTCCGTGTTCGCATTATGGCCGTCATGTGTTTCCTTCATTGATTCCACGCGTTTGTGCACATATGGCAGAAATGACCTCCATGCATACGTGAGAGGCAGTACCATCATAAATCTTGGGGACAGTATGGTAACCTTTTCTCAAGGGACTGTGTCTTTATGTATGGTACGGTTAGTATTAAAGTATCATCCAGTTTATGTGTTTATTTATTTAAAGAAAAGGTTTGTAGGTAAAACACATTATTTCATACGAAACTACACAGCTACGCCAAAACAATGGAAAATAAGTCGTTTTTTTTTAGTTGTCAGTTATTCGGGGGATTGATCATGATCAAAATGGGACACAACCTCTTTATTTATATTTTACTCATATGAACCATGACATGTTCATGATTCTTATTAAATCCGGCCAGCAGATCAATCTTTTGTTTTCCACAGAGTAAAAAAAAAACAATTTAACATTATCCTGCTAATAAGCACTGGCAAGTTTCACTGCCAGCACCGGTGATATTAGACAAAAGCATATTCATTAGTGATCAAATTTTCCAATGCAGAAAAATGTATTAATTGATGCATTAAATGTAATTGAGGTACAAAAATTATTCCATCTGCTCAGTTTTTGCTCTGCCACATTTTCTGCACTTCCACGTAACTTCCAAGTTAGTGCCTGTGCTTGAGGTCAACCAGTCAGCACGCTGGCACTGTAAACTCCCCAGTTGTGTTTGAATGCCAAGTACCAAGTCTGGAGTATAGGGACTGAAAAAGGGTTATGGAACTGCTTCCAAGGCTCTACAATAAGGCCAAGTTCCTGCGGTGTGAATACAACAAAAGTGCCTGGTTCTGAAGAAAGGTTCTGGTTCCAGAAAAAACCCCTATTAATATCGACATCGCAAGTTTTGCACATGCAATTCTCACATCTCTGTTTTGAGATCAGGCTTTTGCATACCTTCATATTGTGCAAACATTTTACAGCAATATTAGGTCTTTTCATAAATTATGTTATTTCCAATGCAGTTCTGGTATGTAGAAATCTTTGTGCTAAGATTTGCTGGAAGCAGGAGGTTTACGTTTCACTAGATTGTTATAGGGAAGAAAAACTTGGCAGGCTTTGCAATTTTAATGACTGTTCAAGATTATCTAGCATATGTTTAAAATTAGTTAAAACTTTACTGCCGCCATTTTGCATGAGATCTGAAGTGCGCTTTCTGAGCCAATCATAAACATTTTCTATCCTACCTGTTTAAATCACACGTGTTTGTGAGAAATTGATCTAATTTAAACTCCTTTTGCTTTATAAATATTGCAATATTTTTATTAAAAATATTTTGCAGCCATAATATAAAGATATCTAACAACATATACTGCAACATTCAGCCTGAGGTAGTGAAGCAGGGACGGATTATGGGTTGTGTGGGCCCCTGGGCAAAACGTTCGTGAGGGCCCCCCCCCCCCCC